AGCAAAACATAATTTCCTGAATTTTCTGGTTCAAGCTCAAAGAGCTTATTTGCAGCAAACTCCCCTAGGTCGATTCTTTTGTGAATGCGGCTGGCATTTAGAAGGGAGCCATATATTCCGGCATGAGGATCCATTGGCATTCTTTCAATAACTCTTTTTGCTTCGTTTAGTTTACCGACTCGACCTAACAAATCAACCATGCACGCATAGTGATCTATATCTGGAGATTCAATTGATTTGAACACCTCTCGGCCTTCTTCTAATAGTCCTGTGTGACTACACGCTGTCAATACACCAACATATGTGATCCTATCAGGATCAATGCCTTCTTCTTTCATCTTCTGCAGTAGTTGGGTAGTCTCAATTCCTTTTCCATGAGCTGCAAAACCCGTGATCAATGTATTGTAGGAGATCACGTCTCTGGTTTCCATTTTGTGAAAAATTGTCGTCGCATCTTTCATGCTTCCACACTTGGAGTACATAAAAATAAGAGAATTGTATACTGAAGCATTCAATTTTATTTGGTTTTCAGATATAAAATTCACAACCCAATTACCCAGTTCCAGTGCCCCTAGATGGCCACAAGCTGAAATTACACTCACCACTGTGACCTCATCTGGCATTATGCCCTTGCTTGTCATTTCCTTGAAGAGCTCAATAGCTACAGATGATTGTCCATTTTGTGAATAACCAGAAATCATCGAGTTCCAGGAGACGACATTCTTTACTGGCATCTGATCAAAGAGCTCTCTGGCTGAAGCCAACATACCGACCCTTGTGTACGCAGAAATCATAGTGTTCCAAGTAACCACATTCCTGTACCCGTTTAACTGGTCAAAAATCTTTCTTGCCATCTCAATGCTCCCACATTTCGCATACATGTCAATGATTGCTGTGTTGACAAAACAATTCCTGTTCACGCCCTTTTCATTGATCATCTTCACCAACGACTCCACCAGGCTAGGATCACTGCACGATGAACAAGAAGAAATAACAGCAACCCATGTCGTATCATTTGGGCGAACACCAACATTCAGCATCTCATCAAACAAACTTAAGGCCTCTTTGGGATACCCATTTTGAGCATAAGCCGAAATCATTGCGTTCCATGATACAACACTTTTTTCAGGCATTTGATCAAAGTACCTCCTGGCATTCACCATATCCTTCATCTTTGAGTACCCACTAACCATAGCCGTCCAAGTGATCACATTCTTCTCTGGCATCAAATCAAACAACCTTTTTGCCTCAAATTCGTCCTTCCAATTCCAATACGCGGAGATCATTGCATTGCAATCCACTACATTTCTCTCGCTCATTTCATCAAACAACTCGCGCGCAATGCCAATAGGGCCATATTGTCCATACACGTTCACAAACGCATTCCGTATAAATTTATCAGAATCAAGACTCATTTTAAGCAAATGGGCATGAAATGCTAGTCCATTTTTACCAGCCACTTTTATCAGCACCGGATATATACAAGCATTAGGCTTTATATTGCACTTGTGCATGTCATCAAACAGATTGAAAATGTGACTGTAGGCACCCAATTGGGAATAGAACTTGATCATATTGGTGAAAACAAAGGCATTGGGTAGATGAATCGAGTTGAAAATGCAGGAGGCATAATGCGGAGGAGCATGAAGGCGAGTGCAACGGTCAATGAGTTGAGCCACCCAGTAGTGTTGGTGGTGAAGAGAGTATTGAATGAGTTTTGCATGGAATTGTTTGAGATGGTTAATTGTAGTGATTTTGGTGAGAATGACATTAGAATTTTCTTGCAAAGGCTTGTTCATCACGTACCAGCGTCCGATGGAACAAGTTCATTGACATAAGTTGAGTTTTTTCTTTCATCCCGAATATTTTACCTCTATTGCATCTCTGTCTCCCAACTTTTTTTTTT